TTAAAACCATTGTTTAATAACTAATTTTTCTCATTGATTTTCCATATTCTGTCTTTTCCCTGGGATGGTAAGCGATTATGATTTAACTTAATCACAGCGACAGCCTAATTATTTCAGTAATTAAAAGCCAAGTTGTTGTTCTATTTTTATTTAGTATTTCTTTTTGGGGGGGAGAGGGGAGGTGGATCCCTCCAGGGTAAGCTGGTTTTTGTCTGTATTTAGTGTGCAGACATCCTTGGCAGATTCGTTCAGAGGAAGAGTGTAATTGTGTAAGACAAACGAGAGTGTTTTGAGCATTTTAAGATTACAGTGCCGCAAGAGCAAAGTAAATATTGTTTGAAGAACTGTCCGTAAGATATGCATTCTTGCATACATATCATTACAGAAATGTTGCACTGAGACAGGAGATGCTTGTCCAGTTGATTTTAACAGACAGCAAAACGGCAGCTAAATGGATGAGTAAATTCCGTGGAAATACTTAAACTTGCCTTTTCTAAATAGCAAAAGTGAGAGAACTGAACATTGTTGCGCTTCTGTTGGGTTGCTATTCAGTGTTTAGTGAATAGACCCCACTAGGCTATAAGCAAGGGTTCTTGTTAAGGAATTGGAAAGTGTGAATAACTGAACATTCAGCCTCTCTATTGTGATATTATTGCAAAAAAACAAAATGCTCTTGATACTTCTGAGATATTTGCAGAGCCCACTTGCTAAAAGGTAGTTGAATTGTGCTATAAAATATGTTGTCCGTGTCCTTGGGCAAGACACCTAACAATTTATATTTGCCTACCTCAAATCTTCATAGATTGTAAGCTCATTGTAGATTGTAAAGCACTGATATGTTGGTGCTGCTATATACAGTGGGACCTCGGTTTACAAACGACTCGGTTAACATAATTTTCGGTTTACAAATGAAAATCCATTGAAAATAATGCCTCGGTTTACACATTTTTTTCGCAATACAAAGCAAGTTTCCAGAGGATGCATTGCATCTGGGAGGTTAATAGCACCGCCCCCTGCATGCTGGAGCCTGTGGGTAGCATGTGGCGTAGAGTGTGGAGGTGTTGGTGCGGCTTTTGCATCGAATTTTGGAGCCATTCTGGAAATTGTTTGCAGTTGTTTTGGGACTTTTTGGTGCATTTCTCAAGCTGTGGAAAGGTAGGGAGCTGAGCTTCGTCATTTGCATGCCTTTTATTGTGTTCTGCATTGTGGGTTGGTTTCCATGCCAGCTCATTTTGACTTTTTCCTGATCTCCAGAACGGATTAATTGGTTTTCGATGCATTCCTATGGGAAACCGCGTTTTGGTTTACAAATTTTTCGCAATAAGAAACGTCCCGGAGAACGCATTTAATTCGTAAACCGAGGTCCCACTGTAAATTATAATAATAATAAAGCCTGTGCAACACCAGAAATTGTTGAAAGATGGTGGACTAGCCCCTTGATGTGTGATCATGTGCTGTGTGTTTTATTCTTGCATCAGCTGCACTCTTCACCTCAGTAAACACTTCAATAAAGAAAAAGATGAATGGTCACCTCTTCAAAAGTGACCCTTTACATCTAGAAGCGTGCCTACTGTAGCCTCATCTATTTGTTCCTACGCGACAGAGATAATCCAGTAAGGTCTGCTGTTGTGGCTCTTCTGCATCAAGGTTTTGATGTGTAGTGCATTAAAAGATGCCTTTCTACCGAAATGTTATTTGATATAAATCCATGGGTAGCTAGAATACTGGGGGCAAACTTCAAAAGGAACGCACATCCCGTTGGAACATTGTCACAGCCCCACTATATTATAAGAAAAGAAAATGCATAGCCTACAATGTTGCCCGCTAATTGTATTTGATTATTTTTCTATCAGCATACAAGAGGCAAATGCTTGATAAAAGTCACAAGCTTTAATATGAAGAGAATATTGTGACAAACATTTGGGGAGACTGTTTTGTTTCGGTTTCTGTGTCTAGTACCATTCATGGAATGGATAAAGGGATCATGCATTGAAATGTTCGTCTCAGCTTGTTTTCACTAGTATGTTCGTTATGTACCGAGGGGAAACAATTGTACATTTTGCACACATGTAACAATGGTCAATTTGTGTCTGAAAGTCACCTTCTCCTAGCAATCTCCAGATTTGTGATTGAAAGGTTGACCATATTGTAATGGTGCAAAATAACCAAAAAACAGATTTGATAACTTTAGAGACTGTGAACAGAATTTTTTTTTTTTCTGTTAGACTTACCTTAGGAAAATGTTGGGATATACATGTACTGAATGTTTTAATATTTTTTTGTTGTTGTTGTCAATCTTTCTTTTATTGAGGCATATAGAGTTGCATGGAAACAGAAGAAAGAAGGGGAGACAGTTAAGACACATTCCAAACGGGGGTATAACAATACAGTTGATATCATCTCCGTAAAGCGTCTATCTCTTTTTTTTTTTAAAGAATAAGTAGATTAACACATCCATAACTGTAAGGTACAATTGTCAACGTAATACTTAAGATGCTCTAGTAACAGTATAGGTAGTGTGGGTACAATATGCTAGATAAGTAAACAGGCTAGTGTGGTTAAATTAGTTTGTAGTAGTGTTTATATAATGTACATAGACTGCTATCCAAGATGTGCTATATTCTTGTGTTCGAGCCGCTGATTACTATATTATGACTTTTCGTGTGACTATACAGGCTAGTGGCTTCAGACTGAAAATTGCTAGGCAGATGTGTCTGCGAGTAAACAGGCTAGTTAAACATTGAGTCTTGCATGCATTGAGAACATTATACCACTGGGTTCTGGGCCTAGGAATAGTAAACTACGCAACCGATTAGGTCAAAATTATAAGCAACTAAATAAACAAAGCTTAGCTAGTACTTCCTCAACAATAAATGGGGAGTCTCTTATCAGGCATGACCATTCGCTCGATGTCTTCAGTGAGTTACCAGAAGCTCTAGGTGGGGTTTTGGGTGCCCGGTCATCCGATCCCCAGTAGCGGCAGAGCTGATACAAGTGTAGGGGGGTCCCAATGATTATCTACCGCAGTGTGCCGTTTCATGGCTCTCTTCCAGCTCCTAGTCTGCAGAAGGGTAAGTATCGCTAGTCCAGTGTCCCTGGTGTTCATGTGGATCAAGTCCGTCCCCTGCCTTAGGTTTGTGGAGGGTCGTGGGTAACTACGGTCATGGCGGGTGATCTCCCGCTTGCATAGCTGTTGCAGGGAGGCAGTGCCTCGAGGGGTTTTCAGCCCGGAAGGGTAAGTAGCTTGGTGGGTAGTTGGCTGTTTGCGGTGATTGTCGGGTTCAACCAATGGCAAACAGGTGCAGGAGATTGTCCTCCAGCCCCAGGCTGTTGTGATAGCTGACACCCTCTGTCCACGGACTTGGTACCTACGTGCGGACCAGTCCTGGCCCCCCAAAGGGCAGTTGGAAAATCGCGGTGACATCCGACACCTGCGGCGTGCGTTCTTCCCCCTGTGTGGTCGATGTCTCGAGGCCATGATTCTGTTGGCTATCAGCGATGGTGCGATGATGCGTTATGATTTGCCCAGAGTGGTATCTCCTGCCTCCCATTCCGTACTCTGGTTGTGTTGATCGGCAGTGGCACGGGTCTGTAGTTTGTCCCAAAATGCCTGGAACAAAGCGTCCAGTCTGGATTCTAGAGTGTCTGGGATTGGCCCTCGTGGGAGTTTGTGGTGCTTGTGGCATTTTGTGAGGTCAGAGTACCTTGAGGCGTCTGCTGTGTTCAGTCAGTTGGGGTAATGGTTGATGCCTCAGCCCGTTCTCCCTGTGGGGACCGGGATAATCCCCACCGGTCCATGGGGGGGGGGGTGGTAGGAGACCAGTGGAGTTGCTTGGTATGTCTGGTGTCGGGGTGAGCGGCTGTCTCTCCCCGGCTCCAACTTTAGTAGGCCGCACTCAGCGTTTCGTCCTCCCGGCCCAACGGTTTTAGAGGGGTGTCCTTCAGTTCCGTGGCGCACTCCCAACATGGGTAGCGCAACCCGGTGAGTCTGTGGGCTATGTAGCCGCTGATTTTACCCCGAATTCAGCCTGTCAGGCGAGAGCTCGTGTTGCCCATGTCTTTACTGCTTGGCGGTCAGGCTCTGCCCCCTTAATATTTTTTTAATTGATTTAACTGTTCCTTAAAGAAACAGTCCTTTTTTGATAGGCTTATATTACTGGGGCAGCCATCTTGGAGTGCTGGGATTTACACAAAGAGTGTGGTCACAGCGTGGCGCTTCATTGGCTGGCAGCGAGAATTTCTGGATGCAGAAGACAGTCTGTGGTGACTGGGAGAGGTAAGTTATTTATAAGTAATATCGATAAATTACAAGGTCTATACCAATTTTTGGTAAAATGCTGAATATTGACTTTAATTATCTGTTTACCCTAATTGATCATATCAATGTGAAATGGCTGGATTAGCATTACGTATGGATGTGAGGAGATTTTAAACTAGTAGTAGGAGGGGAGGGTCAAAGCAATCTAGAAAATGGAGATAGGATAGAAAGGAGATGGGCTTTAGCTCAGAACGAAGAGGGTGGAGATGGGGGCAGGGGCAGGGCCAGATTAAGAGCCCAGTGGGCCTGGTGCTGACAATTATGACAGGCCTAATTACAGAATCATATCGACCAAAAACAGTAAAACACTCCCAAGCGTCATGTATCTGATGGAGATGGTGCTGGAGAGAAAGAAAACAGCAGCTATAAGAAAACACATATCCTAGGCTAATCTCTCACTAATTTATGTTTTCATCTTTCAAGTAAATCCATAACCCCTAACAGCAGTGTCCAGTCAAGCAGGAAGTCAATGGGCACGGTAAAAGGGTGTGCCACTGACACAAATCACGTAACCTGCCAAAAGGGGCGAACATGCCCAAAAAGAGGATATGTCTGCCCAAAGAATTAGAAGGCCAGCCTGGTATGAATGCATGTCAGGCTGCCTGCCAATCATGCAGCTGGCCAACTAAGGGCATACTATGCAGACAGCACCCTGAGCTTGGCATAAATGCATCTAATGATGCGCTCGCTCAACGCTTTCTAAGGACTGTCCCCTAGCACTCGCTGGTCCACTTGTCTCCTTACCTTCTTACTAGCAGGCAGAAGCTCCTGGTATATAGTCTGGGACAGAGAAAAGCTGTATGTAGTGAGTGTAGAAGAAAGGGAACATGCCACAGTGTTAGAGAGACCAAAGTCAGCATTACCTTAAAGGATCACTATAGGGTCAGGAAAACAAACATGAATTCATGACCCTATAGTGTTAACACCACCATCTAGCCCCCCTGGGCCCCTCATGCCTCCATAAATATAGCAAAATATTACTGTATTCAAGCCTGAAGCTGTAACTCTGCATGCTGTTAGACTCAGAAAAACAAGCAGTCTGCTGACATCATTAGAAGTGGTGGCCTAATCCAATCACAGTGCTTCCCTATAGGATTGGCTGAGACTGACAAAGAGGCAGATCAGGGGCAGAGCCAGCATGATTTAAACACAGCCCTGGCATCTCCTCATAGAGATGAATTGAATCAATGAATCTCTATGAGGAAAGTTCAGTGTCTGCATGCAGATGTTTGGATGCATTTTAGGCAGCCATGACCCAGGAAGGATCTCTAACAGCCATCTAAGGAGTGGCCAGTGAAGTTATCACTAGGCTGTAATGTAAAGACTGCATTTTCTCTTAAAAGACAGTGTTTACAGCAAAAAGCCTGAAGGTAATGATTCTACTCACCAGAACAAATTCAATAAGCTGTAGTTGTTCTGGTGACTCTAGTGTCCCTTTAACAATATTCATTGTCAGCCAGTCCACACAAGTTTTGTTCCCATACATCCCTCTTAAGTTTCCATACTTAAGTAAGAGTATGTGAAAAGTAGTTAGAGTTGCCACCTTTCTTGGAAAAACATACCGGCCTTGCTAATTTGCATAATTAAATATGTATGGGTGATATCACATGATGTAAATCACAAGGAGTGACATAAGAGAAAATGCTGTAAAATCACCAAAAAACTACTTAGTTTGATTCTGTTGTATAGATGGATTCCTCCCAGTGGCTCCATGTCTCCCAGTGCCCCCATGTGTCGATTACTCCAGGTCTCAGTGTTCTTATGTATCAGTGTCTCAGTGCCCCATGTCTCCCAGTGCCCCCTAGTGTCGTGTCCCTTGGTCTCCCAGTGATCCTATATATCACAGTGTTTCAATGCCCCATGTCTCCCTGTGTCCCCATGTATCCCAGGGTCCCCATGTCACTAGGAAGACAGGAAGACCTGGGGACACGGGGAGACCTAGGGACACAGAGACACCAGTGACACTGGGAGACTAGGGGACTCTGGCTGGGACGCATGGGGACACTGGGAAAATTGGGGACACTTGAAGACATGGGGACACAGACACCATGGACACAGACACCATGGACACAGACACTAGAGACACTGGCTGGGGGACATGGGGACATTGAGACATGGGGGCACTGGGAGACATGGGGACAAGGAGACACCAGGGCCACAGACACTAGGGACACTAGCTTGGAGACATGGGGACATTGAGATACTTGAGGCACTGGGAGACATGGAGGCACTAGGAGACATGGGGACAGTGAGACACTGGCAGACTGGGGGCACTGGGAGACTAGGGGGCACTGAGACACCAGGGACACTGGCTGGGAGACATGTGTCTGTGTCATAATGTCTCCCAGTGCCCCTTAGTGTCTCAGTGTCTGCCATAATGTCTCCCAATGTCCCTTAGTGTCCCTTTGCAGCCTTTCCCCCATCCCTTACTTCCCTGAGCTGTAGGCTATCTCTGCAGGGTGGTAGTTTCTGTCTGGACTCTCTGTAGCTGCACCCCTGCAGATCAGTGAGTATAGATAGGCAGGGAGAGATATGCTGGAACTTCCTAACCCTGCCTGTCTCCACATACACCGAGCCCTACTGGCCAGTGCTGGTATTGCATAGTAATCTCTTGTTTATACTGAGAAAAATACCAGCATTTGTATTGCCAGTATCACTGTAATATTGGCACCAGCCAGGCAGCCTCAAATACTGGCTGTGCCAATAAATTAAAAGCCAGGTGGAATCCCTAAGAGTAGTGTGTGGAAAAAAAAAATGTAAAAAAAAAAAAAGATTTTTTTTTTTAAAATAAATCAATGGGCCTATTCCATGGGCCTGGGCCTGGAGCTGCAGCTCCATCAGCCCCTATGTTAACCCGGCCCTGGGCAGGGGAAAGCTCAGAACAGAGGAGGTATGTAATATTGATAGGATAATTCACAAAAAGTACAAATGACTCATGATAATATTAAATGTATGCTTACTAATGCAAGGAGCCTATATAACAAAATGGGGGAACTAGAGGCAATATCATACACTAAACAATATGATATAATAGGCATAACAGAAACATGATGGGATGAGACACATGACTGGGCAGTTAACTTAAATGGATACACGTTATTTAGGAAGGCTAGGAAAAACAAGAAGGGTGGTGGGGTATGTTTGTATGTCAACCATGAGTTAAAGTCAAATCTTAAGCAAGTGGAATGTGATAAGGAAAATGTAGAAGCTTTATGGGTAAATATCTGCTTGTGGCAAAAGAAGGGCAATCAACTATTGGTTGGGATATGTTATAAACCACCTAATGTTAATATTGACGAGGAACAACAGCTGTTTGAGCAAATTGAGAAACCTGCAAGTCTGGGTTATACTTTAATTACTGGAGAGTTTAATTACCCGGACATAATTTGGGACAGAGGGACTAGTAGCAAAGGGAGATAGGTTTTTGAACTTGTTAAATGACACCTTCAAGTCACAACTTGTACAAGCACCAACTAGAAAGGATGCTTGTCTGGATCTCGTTATAACTAACAATGTTAATCTTTTGACCAACATTCAAGTAGGGGAGCATTTGGGAAATAGTGATCACAATATGGTAATTTTTGAAATAAGCTCAAAAAAGCAAAAGCACGTGGGGTATACTAAAACGTATAATTTTTAAAAAGCCAATTTCAATAAGATTAGTGCAGCTCTACAACATATCGACTGGCATAAACTCCTTAGTGATAAAAACACTGAGGATAAGTGGAAACTATTCAAACAAATACTAGAAAGGTACATTTCACAGTATGTACCATTGGGTAATAAATATAAAAGAAACAAATTAAAACCAATGTGGCTTAGTAGAGAAGTAAAACAAGAGATTAAAAATAAATCAGAGGCATCCTATATAAGATATAAGGAAGCCATTAATGCTTGCAAAAAGGCAAATAAAGTGGCTAAACTAGAAAATTAGAAATTGATAGCCAAAGAATGCAAAACCAACCCCAAAAAGTTTTTAAACTACATCAATTCTAAAAAAACAAAAAATGAAAGTGCAGGTACACTGGAAACAGAGATGGGTTTGTTAGCTAATGAAGACCAGGAAAAATAAATTTTAAATAACTATTTTTCTTCAGTGTATATTAATTAGGATCCTATGGCAAGAGATATGCTAATGATTGCTTCAAAAAACTTGCAGATAACTTGTAATTGGATAACTCGAGACAAGGTGCTACAGCTATTAAAGAAAATTAATGTAAATAAGGCTCCGGGGCCTGACGGTATTCACTCACGAGTACTTAAGGAGCTAAGTGGGGAAATAAGTGAACCTCTGTATTTAATTTTTCAAGATTCTTTTGTTTCAGGTATTGTTATGGAGGATTGGAGGAAGGCAGATGTTGTTCCTATATTTAAAAAGGGTTCAAAATCCTTGCCTGGAAATAATAGCCCTGTGAGCTTAACTTCTGTGACTGGGAAAATATTTGAAGGGCTATTAAGGGATAATATTCAGGAATTCATTGGGAAGAACTTTGTTATTAGGAATAATCAGCATGGCTTTATGAAACATAGGTCATGTCAAATTAACCTAATTGCATTCTACGAAGAAGTAAGTAGAAGTATACATCAGGGTGTTGCAGTGGATGTGATCTATTTGGATTTTGCCAAGGCATTTGATACAGTTCCTCACAATAGGTTAGTCTTCAAACTAAAAGAAATTGGTCTAGATGAATATTCTTGTTCTTGGGTAGAACATTGGCTTAAGGATAGAGTACAACGAGTTGTCATTAATAGTACATTTTCAGGCTGGACAAAAGTGGTAAGGGGTGTCCTTCAGGGTTCTGTTTTGGGACGGCTTCTATTTAACATATTTATAAATGATCTTGAAATAGGCATTGAAAGTCATGTATCAATGTTATCAGATGACACAAAACTTTGTAAAGTAATAAAATGTGAGCAGAATATTGCTTTGCTGCAGAGGGATTTGGATAGATTGGGGGACTGGGCACTAAAATGGCAGATGAAATTTAACGTAGAGAAATGCAAAGTTAGGCACTTTGGGGTTAAGAATGCACAAGCAATTTACACCCTAAATGGTAGTGAACTAGGGATAACCACATACGAGAAGGATTTGGGAATTGTTATAGACAACAAATTAGGCAGCAATGTGCAATGTCAATCTGCAGTTGCTAAGGCCAGTAAGATTTTGTCATGTATAAATAGGGGCATAAATTCTCGGGATGAAAATATAATTTTGCCTCTTTATAAATCATAAATCATAGGACATGAGGTCACACATTTAGGCTGGAAGTAAGGAGATTTCATCTAAGGCAAAGTAAAGGTTTTTTACAGTAAGAGCAATAAGGATATGGAATTCTCTGCCTGAAGAGGTGGTTTTGTCAGAGTCTATACAGATGTTTAAACTGCAATTGGATAAATACTTGCAAAAACATAACATACAGGGATATAATTTCTAATTAGTGGGATAATAGCTGCTTGGTCCAAGGAGACATCTGACTGCTATTTTGGGGTCAAGAAGGAATTTTTTCCTAGTTTGTTGCAAAATTGGAAGCGCTTCAGACTAGGTTTTTTGCCTTCTTTTGGATCAACAGCAAAAACATATGTGAAGGAAGGCTGAACTTGATGGCCGCAAGTCTCTTTTTAGCTATGTAACTATGATGTGCATGGGCAAACAATTTGGTCCGGTTCGGCACTTCCAGAATTCGGCAATTTCCTAACCCTAACCTTACCACTTACACATCTAGGGTTAGGGGTTAGGGTTAGATTCCTGTCATCATTCACGTCATTTTTCCCTCCCTCTCTTGTTTTGCCACTTTTTAGAAATCTGAAGCACTTCGGTTCGATTCGGCACTTCCGGAATTGGGCACTTAGGAAATTCTGCATTTCGGACATTAGTAAGCATCTGAATGTCTGAATTGCTGAAATTCGTCCAAATTTACATTTGG